ATGCCATAGTATCTGTTTACATGGTCTGCACACACATATATAATTGTAACATGAGGGGGCCTGCTCTTTGGGGTTTCTGTCCCAGCCCAGTACCCCACAGCTGGCAAGCTCCAGAGAAAATCAACTTGAGATCTCTATAAGTTATAAAGCTGATTGGCCCATTAGCTCAGTCTTCTTATTTGCTCTTGTAACTTATATTAACCCATTATTCTGATCTATTTTAGCCATGTGGCTCAGTACCTTTTTCAGTGGGGCAGATCACATCCTGCTGCTTCAGTGATCTGGGCAAGAGTGGGAGGAATCAGCTTCCTCCTTCCCAGAATTCTCCTGCTCTCCTTGCATCATTTCCACTTCCTGGCTGGTTTTCCCACCTACACCTCCTGCCTGGCCAATCAGCATTTATTTAAAACATGATTGACAGAATACAGACAATTCTCCCACAAACAATAAAATACACAGCTGGGTGGTGCTGATGTACACATGTAAGTCCAGCAGAAAGAGGCAGGCAGATCTTTGTGAGTTCAAGGCTAATCTGGTCTGCAGAGTGAGTTCCAGGCAGACAGGGCTGTTACACAGAGAAACTCTGTCTTGAAAACATAAACAAATAAACAAACAAATTGCTAACAATAAACACACATACAAATACAGAAATTTATCAAAACTTAACATGAAAAAAATAGTCCTATTTTCTATAAATATTAGACAAAATAGATATCAGGTCAATGACTGCTACAGAGAAAAAGAGGAACACTTGTAAATGGAGACTTTTTTTGCTTCCCAGCCACCCAAACCCAAATAATCACACAGAAACTGTATTAATTACAACATTTTGACCAATGGTTCAGGCATATTTATAGCTAGCTCTAACATCTTAAATTAATCCATTTATTTTAATCTGTGTATTGTCATGAGGTTGTGGCTTACTGTAAGGTTCTGGTGTCTTTCTCCTTCAGCAGATATATGGCATCTCTCTGACTCTGCCTTCTTTGCTCTATCTCTGCTTGGATTTCCTGCCTTGCTCTACTCTGCCCTGCCACAAACCAAAGCTGCTTCTTTATTAATCAATGGCAATAAAATATATTTACAGCATACAGAGGGTGATCCAACATCGTCCCCCCTTTTCTGTCTAAATAAAAAGGAAGGTTTTAGCTTTAATATAGCAAAATTACATATACAAGACAGTTATCAATCAGGAATTATAGTTACAATATTTAGTCTACTTACATTTAACTAATTAAGGAAAATCCTTTATCTTCTATGCTATCTTTGTTTAATGATACATATTCATAGCATACAGAATGGAATCCCACATCAAACATTACATAATGAGAGTGCAATTAACCAATGAGCAAACTGTTCCTCAATATATGTGCATTGAAAAATAGCATTTCAATAACTAGAATCAGAACTGGATAGAAGTAAAAGGAGAAATAGAAAAATCCACAATTAATTTTGTCTCCTTCAGTACTCTTCTCTCTATAATGTAGATCTACCTCAAATAAACTGATATAAACATAAATTTAAAGAGTACAATCAAAAAGTTTCACCTAATAAACAATTTTAGAATGCTTAGTGATAATACTTAATAGATTATATGCTGATATATAAAGCAAATATTAACAAATTGAAAATAACTGAAATCACAAAATGTGTTCTCTTTAACACACTATAGCTAAGCAAGCTCTAAATTAATAATAGAAAGACATATGGAAATTATCTCTATAGTTGGAAACCAGACGGCATTCTTCTAAGTCACCCCTAAAACTAGAAATAAATCATAAAGCAAATTGTAAAAAGTTTTGAACTGACTGAAACTAAACATATATCTCAAGAAGTTTGTGGATGTTACGTTTAGAGAGAAACTTATATGACAAGAATGAGGCATATATGTTGATTATTAAAGGGATTTAGTGACGCATACATTTGTCAAAAGTCTATACAACTAAAAGAGCACATGAGGGGTTGGATGGGTGATTCCGCAGCCAAGAGTGCTAACTATGCCATTATGAGGACCCGAGTTCAGAACCCAGCACCTGCAGGACAACCTGGGCATTCTGCCAATGTCTGTGACTCCACCTCTTCTTCCTATGAGATGGTATTAGGATTGATTATCTCACACCAGCGTTTCACACATCTGCCAGTTATTCTGAAATAGTTATTCATGTTTTTCCAAAACGATTGTTAGCACTTTTGTACATGCTATCAACAGAAGCAGAGCCTGGTCACCACTATGAAATGTTTTCATGATCTCATGCTATTGTTTCTTTTCAGATGCAGCCAGCTAAAAAGGTGTTCTTGAAATGTAACAATTAAACAACACATTTTTCCTTTATGCTCTCAAACAGTTAGTTAATTAGATGATTTACTATTCAAATGCTGCCCAACCTATACAACAGTTCATTATATTTATTTACAATTTAAATGTAAATCCCCAAACAACGAAGCTTAGGCTAAATATTAGCCAAAATTGAATGCCTTCATTTTTTCTGGATATTTTGCCAACTTTACATTAGATGTGTTCCTACGTGGAAAAACATTAATCAAATCAAATGCTTTTTCATCTTCATTTACTCCTTATCAAAGAAGTCATTCCTTGCAGTGATAAATTAAATATTTATGTTATAACCATATATGGAGACAATCATTTCCCTTTTAGTACTTTCAAAGCTATCCAACCTGATATGTCATTTATAAGTGCACACACACACACACACACACACACACATTTTAAGGTCATATTTTTTTTTCAACAATACAAATGTACGTGTTTAAGCTTAAACGCCTATTTCTAGGTGACAGAATTCTTTTCATTACATAGAATAGCGGTCCTCTTTTTCGTTCCTTTCTGTTTTTCACCCACACCCTCTTCAGCAATGCCCGCTGTCCATTGAGATGCATTTTTCCCAGCTTTTTCCTTTCCTGTTAGTGGCTGTTGATTGAGTTCCCGTTTATTCTCCCCTGTTTGGGTCCCTTAGCTGATTTCACTGGGATATGCTCCTCACTGTGCTCTCCAATCTACTGATTAATTATCCACTACAGTGATCTGCGAAATAGCCAGCACCACGGTTTCCTGACACACCCCTCCCCAAAGCTCTCTTCCTCCCCAGATATATTTCCTTGAAAACAATCTCAGCTTTCCAGTACCCCCTCTCCAACCTCCAGTTTCCAACTGTTCCAGTAGCTCCATCCCAACAACTCTGCTTACATGAGGATATCCAATTCTTTCATTCCCTACCTTCAGGAACCAACCCAAATCTGGTTTAAAAAAAAAAATCAGCTTTTTTGTGTAAATTCAGAGAATTCTTTGATCTGCACCTACATCTATATATTTTAATGAATGCTCATTCACTGATAAAATTTATTCTTCATATCTCTCTAGTAAACTGCCTTCCCTCCTCTCTGGAATAAACATTTTGGATCAGCTGACTTTCTTTTTGTAGTTTCTAGCCCTTGTCTCTGTCTTTATCTCAGTAATAGACAGTGATCCTGTCTCCATACTTGAGTGAAGAATGACTCTACCAGATGAGAATTACTGGGCTGGTGACTGAGTCAGTGAGTAAGGGAATTCATTGCCAAGCCTGACTAACTGAGATCTATCCCATGAAAAAGGAGAAAATTAAATCACACACATTGTTCTCTGATCTTTATGTGTGTGTCATGCACGATCACACACACACACACACACACACACACACACACACACACACACACACCCCTTCATCTGGATGCCATGTCTGCCTATAGCTACCTCATGCTCTCAGTCCTGTCTTGTTATCCTAAACTCTTTGTCTATATCTTTGGAAGAAGACTGTTGAATCACCATTGATATAAGTCTAGTTGGCCTCTAAGCACCAGTTACATGGCTGGCCTCACCTTTGACCTTCACACTCTGTTGTGTGAGATTTATGGACACTGGACTCAGTAGCGCTCACTTCTAATTTAGGGCTGCTCTTTCCTCTTGAGAAACATGTCCATGGATTCCTTTCAATTCTGCACATCTCCCAGATAGAAACACTGTCTGTCTTGGTCTGATACTATTTTCCTAAAATATTTTTGAAGTAAACAACCTTGGAAGATAAACTTTTTACCTCCAGTGAAGAGGTTAGGGATAGAGATATGTCTTCTACTTGTATAATACCATAACAGCTTCTTGGGCAAACAGTAGCAACTGTAGAGGATTTAAGATTCTTGAGTCTATAGTTCCTCCGGCAATAGGACAAAGTCACTGCAAGTGTGCTATCTACGTATATGCTTCTCTGTCACTTATCATGAGACTTGGAAGTGAGAAAAGCTGATAAAAATCTGCTGTTGTTCATGATTCCTGTAATGTTGAGTAATGGAAGCCTTGTCTCTCATAGGACAGTTTCGTATGTTCTAGCAAGATTTTGGAAACTTTGCCTAACAGCTTGTTGGTGAGAACTATAAAGTCTCAGGCTAGTCACAATTCTTGCCACTTCAGAAATAGCACAAAGCTATATCTTAAAATACTTGGTGCTTAACCATAGCCACTTTTCCTCTCTAGTAATACAGTCTTATTAATATAATACGCTGGTGTTAAATAATGTCTTTTCTCCAATGAATGCCAAAACTCAGGAGGCCATAAGAATGTGAACTTACATATGGGTCCTTAATTCTAATCCCTTGGTAAATGTGCCTGTTTCCATGTCAGTAACATGCTGCAGCATGACTCAAGGTCTGGAATGTCAGTGCCTCCTGTAGCTATTTCATTGGTTGCTATTATTTAGCTCTCCAAGATATTTTATATTTCCATATGAAATATAAGACTCATTTTTCAGTTTCTGTTTGAAATTTCATTGGAAGTTTTATTTTTGAGATAATGGTATAATTATGTAATTTATACTTTTGGTGAGTACATTTCTATTTCTTCATGTCTGATCACTGAACTATGTGGTGTCTTCAGCAATAGGGTCCTGTTGTCAAGTTCTAGAATGTAACCAAGAGCCATGCCAACATTCTGGAATGTTTTTGGGTGTGTGGGACCTCACTAGCCAACAACTCCAAAAGAAGTAACCCGTTCCCAGAATAGGGTCAGCCTTTTTACTTGTTAGATTGGGCTCTCTAATAGTGGCATTGTTGCTCCAGTATAAGGTAACTCCGTTTATTCCCACTCTGTCTCTTTGTCTCTGTCTCTGTCTGTCTTATCTCTCAGTCGGTCTCTGTCTTTGTTTCTCTGTCTTTATCTCTCTCTTATTATAGACTCATAAATAGTATTTCTGATGGAAAACAAGCGTCCCTGTCAGAATGATGTACTGTGATACTGAATACTTTCTCTAGTGTTTCTTTCTTTCTCTCTCTCTCTCTCTCTCTCTCTCTCTCTCTCTCTCTCTCTCTCTCCTGTTCTCTCTCTCTCTCACTGGTGATCTCTTTGCTTAGAGATTTATGAAGTTCAATTAATAATTTAATCTTTTAATGACAAATCAAGTGAAGCCCAGCCTGAGGCTTGTGAGAATTGTTAATTATGGGCGTGGCAGAGGAATGAGAAGAAATGCAGCAAATACTTTCAAGCTTTATACAAAGGAAAGCAATAAATGTCAATCTAAACATTTGTGGCTTGTGACATTATATGTTTTATTATTCAGCAAAATTCATGAGGCAGCAGACGATAGATTAATAATATCTTACATTTTCAGAACTACATGAATTGTCTGAGACTAGAAAGATTGCATTTGTTTATCATAGTATAATAAGAGCATTCTATTATCTTCCTATGGGGAAGAATTTTCAATATTCTCTTGAGTACCCAAACACCAACTTATCTTTTATTGTTAAGAATATCTTGTATATTCTTTATCTAATGAAAAAAACCTCCTTCAATAGTATCAACTATTGCACAAACTCTATAGCTCTTCTCTCTAGCCTTACCATCTGATCATTTGTAGCCCTGTTATCAGATGGCTATAGATTCCTCTAATTCTAGTTTGAGTAAGCATAGAACATTCTAAATGCATGAGTGTTTGTTGATGTGTTCAATCATTTGTTAGAATAGTAAAATAAATGTGTGTCTTATTTATTTTAAGATTGTCCTGGAGGGATTTTCCTTTAAAAGAAAAGTGAAAATTGTAACTCATTCAGTTCATGCATTATCGATGGATATTCGTGAAACGGTCAACGAAATCAGTACGTAAAAAACAGTGTTTACTTTTCATAATTGTACAGAAGCCTCCATCTGTGTGTCTCTGTGGCCACTCTTGGCACTGAAATCACAAAGTTGAACTCATTTCAAACAGTAGGGAGATCTCAGAACATTCCTAAAGAAGCCGGTTTTCAGCCGTGAAGACATGGGACTAGTCCTCTGTAAGGATCTGTGTGTTGTTTTTTTTTTAAAGGTACCATGACATAGACGTTTAGTGAACTCTACTTCTAGCAAGAGGGTGAAGAATATAGAAAATGCACAAATTCATATGTTAACATGTATTTACGCTGAAGATGGAAGATTAACGAATAGAGGGTCTCTTTGAGGGATGACTGAACTACCAATCTTCAATAGTGTTACTTCAGACCAGTCACATCAGATGAAGAAGGAAGAAGCCACCTGGAAGAGGACACAGAATTGGTCCTCTTTGTAGAACTGGGCAGTGAACATGCAAGGTAGGGAGCTTGGTGTGGGAGTCCTCTCTGTGTGCTGTGATTACCATTAATAAATAAAGAAACTGCCTTGGCCTGTTGATAGGGCAGAACTTAGGTAGGCGGGGAAAAATGGAACTAATGCTGGGAGGAAGAAGGCAGAGTCAGAGAGAGACACCATGAAGCCGCTGGAGATAGATGTGCTAAGAATTTGCTGGTAGGCCATGACCTCATGGTGATGCACAGATTAATGGAGATGGATTAAATTAATATACAAGTTAGCCAATAAGAAGTTAGAGCTAATGGGCCAAGCAGTGTTTTAATTAATAAAGTTTCTGCATGGTTATTTTGGTTCTAGGCAACCAGGACGAACAAGCACCCTTCCCCCCACGGGAGCTGGTGTCTCAGAAACATGTGGGAGCAACAAAGATATTTGCCACTGAAACACAAACTGTAGCTGTATCCACCCTGCATCTTTAGTTCCTTCATTTCTGACACCCACTCAGTCTTGTGACTCATCTCCAGTGTATAAATTCTGCCCTCTGTCTAGTTCTAAGGACCCACCTTTCCTTTGGATTATGAGGATGTGGCCACAAATCCTCTTAACACTGACAATAGATGGGCTCTCCTCTAGGTCTCATGGCATTGAGCCAGTGAACAACCTATGAAAACTTTTGACAGTGTAATTTGCATAGTAAAGCCCTTTGTGAGCTACAGACATAGTTCTTTCAAGTATGTACAAAACAAAGAGGCATATTACTCCAAGACACCAATAACAATATCATTTATGTGAACATCACTAAATATTACTTGGATTTTTAATTTTTCCTGTACCTTTATGCTTTTTAATTTAATTATTTTAACTTTTGAAAGTTTCATGTTTGAGTACTGTATTTACACCCATTGTAAGCCCTCTCTTTCTCTCCTCTCTAACTCCTCCTAAGTGTCTCCCATACTCCCTTTCAAACTCGTGATTTCTTCTGCTTTAATTATTGTTTTACACACACACACACACACACACACACACACACACACACACACACACA